TAAAGTGGAAGCATTCGCAACAGTTGGGAAGATTGTTATAAGTCTTTGAGAGCTGGAAAAAATAAACACGTTTGCGTTAGTGAAAAGATTTCCAATGGCAAGCGATGAAGTAATCTAGCTTTCTCTACGACAAATTAATAATTATAATCACGACATCGTCATAAACTAACCTTAAGTACTTCCTGAACAGCAAATTGAACACGTTTATGCAGTAAACTGTCACCCATTAGACACAAATAAAATATATCTCCAAGGACGGTTTGATTGTCTCTAAATGATAATTACTAGCAGCATGGCACAACTGAGCGACCAATTCTTCAAAAAATGGATACAGAAATATGAAAATATGTCTCTCGTTACTGCTGGGTCAATTCCTTCGCGTATTTGCTTAATGAAAAATATCATCGCATCGTCTTCTAATCGCATCATGAATAGCTGACATTCTTCCGATGTCAATCTAATTGACCCATGAATACCATTTGTATTTCCTAGCTCATCCACTTCACTGTCAAAAATCTTGCTTAGATCGCATATGCACAAAAGCCAAAAGATTACGGAAAGGTGGATATGTAAACTTGTCAAACATCCTTCTTTTCCTGCCCTTAATCAATGCTATTTCGTCGGCCAAGAAAACTTGACTAATTCACCTACAAATCCGCTGTTGATCATGTAGATTTTCTCCTCAACGCCCGAATTTGCAATGAAAGATAGTAAGTAGAAGAACAGATCGAAATTACGCCACCATATGTACGCATTGGGAAGCAGAGAATAAGCAGCATCGAGCAACTGATATATTAAGCTCTTGGAATTTTGTACTTCTCTTGTGACGATATTCATGCTGAGTTCGCGCCCATCCTCACCAGCTATCTCCACTCTTTCCAAGCCATACAGGCTTGTATCACCCTTACGAAGTGTTGATAATGCAAATGCCAACAGCTCGACTATCTGTTCAGTTGGGTGAGCCTATGAATCTACTAATGAACCAATGACATCCTTGGAAATGAGTACGAAACAGACCGCGAAGAAACTCTGTCCAGTTTTTGAGATCCATGTTATCTTTTGATCGTGAAAGAATTCCAAGAACAAATTCACTCGCTGTGATGTGAAATAACATCAACGTCTTTCTTGGGTGATGGAATGAAGAACGTTCCACAACAGACGGAAATAGTATCAATGTCCTTGAGAAACTATGTTTTCGTCCCATACATGAGCATAGATGTCAGAGGGTATATTTGAAGCATGGTCTTCTGCTACCGGAGACGTGCTATCGTTTGATGTGTCGGAGCATCTTTCATAATAACAATATAAGGAAGTTAAATCACTTATTATTATAGTAAATCAAATATCTCGTGTCTTGTTACACTAAATTTTCGGACTTGGAAATATCGATATTTCAGAATCGAATTAAATTTTAATACGATCAAATGAGATATTAATAATATTTTTTATGATTAAAATCCAACTGTTGAAATGATATTGTCCGTAATTGATTTTATTCGAACTTCACTGCTTCACTGAAAACACGACGACTTTGACGCTTCCGTGATAACGCAAATGCTTGTCCTGTTATATTTCGAAGGAGGGGAGTGAATAATTCGTAGAGATACTGGTAGTGTCCTAGTATTTGAGGAAGTCAAGTGACTTAATGAGTAGATTTTGTTTCGTAACATCATAGGATTAAAGTCATCACGTGGAAGTTTAGCCCTGTACAGGTTTCCAAGGTCGCTGGTTTATTTATCCATAAAATCCGGATATCTTTTTACACGCAGTTCTTCTGGGAAGTTCACAGCTTCAGAATGCACCTACTGTACTGCATGTGCCACGTGAGCATTTGCTGTTTGTCCAATGGTGGCATCGTTGAACCGTTGGCATCTTCTGAACACGTAATTCACAAAGAATTTTTTGATATCATTAACCGTAATTTTGGTGCTGATATTCTATTGGTGGTATTAGTCTTCTATCCCAAATCAATCTTCATTCCACTACGTAAATATCTATATCCGTTTGCAGGAAATATCAAAACATCAACCAAATGTTCGAGGTTCGGACATTCGACCGCTGTAACTACTTTTATATCTCCAGGGTGGAAACAAGGATTACGGAACATTAAGACAGGTACCAGTTATCACTTTCCTCATGGAAGAATTACCCGGGTCTGAGGTACATATATTTTTATTCAGTAACTTGTCCAACCCTCTAAAAGGAAGGACAATGTTTTTGAGATCATCAAGATATGATATACAGTGATAATAAATTGACCAACCAAGGGTCCTGTTGTCACATAAAACCCGCTCAGACCATATCAGCTAATCGAGATCTTCTACTTGCGCATTTTTCATATCCATGAATACTGAATCGGGGACTTTAAGAGCGTAATAGCCTGCCTGTTCAAATATGCAGGTAAAAATGTCGACGCCCTTATCACTTCCAGCTCCGTATGTGGCGAATTAAGCTCGGTCGCACTTGGATTTGCTTCCTCGGATGTATGCGGACGTGCATAAAACACAAATACAATACAAGAGGTAAGAACCCCAGTAGATGTTTTTGTGTGTCCTACTGTCATACTAATTATGTACAATCGTTTTGTAGGGAAAAACCTTGAAATATTCAGATTGGCTATTATACTTCAGGATATGTTGTTTTTATATAAGAATAATCGAGATGCAGATTAGCATTTTGGGAAAGCTTGCAACATATGCGATTTCAATCAATTCACGACTATTTGTCGTTCCGGTTACATGTAATAGCATTCTTGCATTTTATGTAATGGAATGCAAAGAATATGGAGTTTCATTCTTAGTATTCCAATTATCCTAAAATTACATCAACATTCACCCTATTGCCCACATTACATTGTGTCATCTTAGCAGTTCAATTATCATAACGATTAATCTTATTAAAAGAAGTTCAACAAACTCTGTCCTAGAAAAACATTGTAGAAATATTGGGCAATCACAAAGCGACGCGAACAGTCTAAGCTTTGTCAGTTGCTGACATTCACAAAGAAGGAAATATTTCGATAATTGATTTGGCTAGCAACAAAAATAATTTACAATAGTGAAGAGATTTTTTAATAAATGTTTGTGTAAATGTGATGAAGTGCGTTATCGCTATTTTTTGAAAATTTGTACACAAACCGCGCGCAATAAAAGTAGACTCTTCGTTTTATAGGATGGATTACTTACGGAAAACCGTCGTCAATAAAGTGTTGGGAAGGGTCTCACATACTTGGTATTAATTATATTGGGTCCGTCATGTACCGCCCATTATTTGTTGCATTACTCCACGCAGCCCGTCACCTTTATTTTGTTTGGTCGACTCCTTACTTCCTGTCTTCGAACTACAATCAGCATCTCGCCCTCGTATTTTTTAAATTATTGATTATTTTTAACATGCTCAAGACTAACATTATTAAATCAAGATGAATAGTGGCTTCCTCTTAGATCTATAAATTTTGAGTAACAAGAAAAAGTTATTATACTTTAACACACTGATATCAAAAAATTATGCGATTTATGATCTTCTAAATTTGAAGTAACAAGCCTAAAAACGCGAACATTGTATAGTACAGGTAGTAGATTTGAGACAGTAATTATATAAGTTTACGGTCTATCCAAATCAAACTGAGATTACTAAAATGCAAATATAAAGACAAGGATATTTTTTAACCCGCCTAATGTATTAAGGAAAAAAAAATAGTAATGCGTTTACATATTGTTTACATATTATTATAATAACAGATAACCGATTTTTGCATTAGATTTTATAAAAACTGTAAAGACGATCGTCACCGCCATTATTTTTGCCGGGGACTGTAATTGCCCCCAATCATTAACGTATCTGTAAGAAAACTTCATCCATTCCCATGTTGCTCCATCAGTTTTTATCTTTCTTATCGTTATTCTCGCCAAGTTCCAAATCCGTCAGCAAGTGTCTTGAAGAACTATATGAGACGCGGTTCTTTCTTCTTCTTGGGGTTTAGCGAGCACTTTTTATGGATAAAGTTTCTCACAATAGTTCTTCCCTTCTTTGAAACATGGCTTGAGCGTTTCTCTTGTGCACGGGAAGACAGAGCCTTGAAACGGGTCGTAACATCAATATATGCAAGACTTACACCTTTGTCAGAAACACTGTCTGCTGAATTTCGTAAAAAGAGTTTAGTAATTCTAGCAGCTTTCAAATTAAATTTTGATTTATTATTATATCTATATAATAATAAATACTACGTTTAGTAGTTGTAGATTAAATAAACAAATAATAATTATTATTAATATGCTCAGTTATAATCAAGTCCGTTTCAAAGTAAAACAATACAACGAGTATTAGTATGTCACCAAAACTATTACTATTTTGCCTTTTTTTTTAAAAAAAAAAATAAAATAACAGCTCTAGGTTTGTTACTATTACATTAAATAAATTTTGTAAAATTTTATTATGTTAAAATTAAAAATAAGATTGTCATTAAATTTATAAATCGATAATTAATTTCAGCAACCATGGTAGCTTCTACCATTTGGAACATACTAGATTAACACAGTAACAAATAGGAACCAAAATTCAATTTTATTTTTTAGTATTAAGCATTTATTAAATATCAAAGCTATTTTTACACATTATGTATTTGATAACAAATTTGTTGACCCGTTACATTTATGAGACCTCTCTTTTTCTAATAAAAAATATTCAATAGACTAAGTTATTATTAAAGAGCTGGTATGTCTACTCATTATTTACATTAACTTTTGCAATTGATATTATTAATAAAAACCTTGCTTCTTCTTTCCACACCTACATTAATAATTTTGAGTTTTTGAGGTCTTTATTGAACACTCGGGTGACCACTGATTTACTGTGCTTTTACTACATAACAAATAAATATAAATATAAAACTGATACTAATACTGAAAGTTTTTTGACATATTTACAGTAACGTGCAAAAGTATCCTACCGGTTGTATCATCTAAACGTACATAATAATAACTCCTTAAATTTTCC